ATACAGTAGACCCCCTATAACACTGTTGATAATTCCATTTTATATGAATTCCATGTTGTACGAGTCACATAGATTTTACAAATACGTGAGCCGTTCACAGCCCGGCACACGTATTTGTAAAATCTAAGTGACTCGTACAACATGGAATTCATATAACACGGAATTATCTACAGTGTTATAGGAGTGTCTACTGTATTGTTTTCTTTTTTCAAATAAATTTTGTACTACAAATCTCTAGAAAATTCAAGAAACTTTTGCATCAACCCCGTATCTATTACTTTTATAAATAAATAATATTAAATAATTTTTTTTTTTCAACAGAATTTAATTATTCATCTGCCCGCCGATATGGTGAGTTACTATTTTTATATCAGTTATTCTTAGATCGACATTATATTACTGCATACATTAATGTATACTTTTCTCTTCTCGGTGTTCCTCTCCATAATCGATAAAGTTGTAAGTGTAGTCTCCATTGTTAATTCTAAACCTTTAGAAGGATTATATAATAAAAATTTATTAAATTAACTTTATTTAGATGTCGGCAAAAAGGGAGCTTTTCCGCCAACAGTTATCTCCTGATTTGTTAGCCCACAGAAAGAAAAATGATGCTGGAGCCGTGAGTCCAACACCCAAAGAAATGGACACAGATTCTGATTACGTTGGCTTTTCCAATTTGACTAATGAGATTTATCGGCTGTCGGTCAGACGAGGATTTCATTTCACTTTAATGCTTGTCGGTATGTAACTTATTATTCTATAAATGTACTGAAAGTGTACAATATTTCTTCTATTTTCATCTACCCACGCTTCAATAGGAGAAGCGGGATTGGGAAAATCTACATTCCTAAACAACCTCTTCCTCTCCAATATTTACTCCGACGAATATCCGAGTCCTTCCGAAAGAATCAAACCAACAGTGCAGGTCAGAAATTCAATATTTTAATCTACAATTAAAATATTGAATTTAACTTATAAGATTCAATTTCAGATCGAGACGACTAAGCTTCAGCTGGAAGAAAATGGCGTCAAGTTAAATCTAACGGTTGTGGATGTACCCGGATTCGGCGATTCTTTAAACAATAATGGATGGTAAATTTGTTAACAGTGCGAATGAATTGAATTTAAAAATATTTAAATAAAATGCTTTTCAGTTGGCGTCCAATAACTAATTTCATCAATGAGAGATTCGACCAATATTTAGAAGATGAATCGCGCGTGAATCGTGATGTTATTGTGCCAGACAATCGGGTTCATTGTTGCCTTTATTTTATTTCGCCTTGTGGAAATGGGTGAGAATTTATTAAAAATTATACAAATAAATATTTATATTAAAATTAATTTATTTACAGTCGATTCAATATATATACATTTTAACTCTTTTCCTCCTGCGGGCACTAAAAGGATCTTTTTTTTTGCATGCCCATTTTGGATTCGGCTAGGCTCAAAATGATGCGGCAGGGTGGAGATGGACGGGACATATCCTGTAAAATTTCTGGAGTTCTTTCGATCCGTTCGGATTATATCCTGGGTCTTTTAAAGCAGTAGGCTTTCATCTNGCTTCTTTTCGAATAATAGATTAATAAATTGAAGAGATGGACGGGGGCAGACATATCCCGTAAAATTTCTGGAGTTCTTTCGATCCGTTCGGATTATATCCTGGGTCTTTTAAAGCAGTAGGCTTTCATCTTAATACTCGGCCATACGACCATCTAAAATAATGTGTACCTTCGGGTGTTATACACATGAAAACAAGGAAAACTCCACATTGCCAGCCCACACTCTGGAGAATCAAGATCGAATCGGAATGGTCGAAAACCTCAGGAATTTTTCGAGTGTTGATCCGTCCATGATATGGCGGGCCGTCCCTCACCTATCTGCCTGCATTATGGCCTGTTGAAATCCACGCTGGAGCCGGAAAAAACAAGATTTCTTACTGCCTACAGGGCGTTGAAAGAGTAAAAGAAATTAAGTATCATTTATGAAAATTATTAAAGATATTAATATTGAACTAATTCGTTTTATTATTTACATTTGCAGGTTAAGACCCTTGGATGTTGAAGTGATGAAGAATTTGCATGATAAAGTTAACATCATTCCACTTATTGCAAAGGCTGATTCATTTACACCCGAAGAATGTGCAGCTTTTAAGAAAATCGTAAGTTCTGTTAGATCCTATGCCGTAAAATATGATCTTCAGCAATTAGAAAACAAGTTTTTTTTATCTTTAAATACGATTTATAAGATAAAATAATGTTGATACTTTACAGATAATGAATCAAATTGCACACCACAATATTAAAATCTACGATTTTCCATCCCACGTTCACGGAGATAACGAAGCTCTTAATAATCTTAAGGTAATTACAATGATTACACTCTTCATCAGCAACTACCTAATTATAATTATAACTGAATGTACAGAAGGGTTTATTTGCATTATCATCATTACTCGATAATTAAGTCCATATAAAATAGATTAGAAATAATTTTTATTTAATTAATTAAAATGATTCCAACGATTTCTTTGAAGGAAAGACTTCCCTATGCCATTATGGGAAGTATGTCATTAGAGGACGTATCCGGAACCAAAAAAAGAGGAAGAAAATACCCATGGGGTACAGCAGAAAGTGAGGAGTTTTATATTTTATTGTTTCTGTAAATAATGATAATTATTTATAGTATAATTTACTTTAATTATGATATGTAATTAATGGAATTGCACTGAAGGCGTGCAAACATATTGTATAATATTCAATAATTCGCGATTCAAAAATCACATGAAAAAACATTCCATTTATTTAATTTAATGTAAATATTACAAATAAAATAATTACAAATTTGATTTATTGTCTTAGAGTTAAAGGTTTTTAATTAATGTATTTAATGTGCAGTTTATCCGAAACGATAAAGACTTCAGCTTTTATATGCTGAGGGACCGAGTTCGAGTTCAGGCTGTATCCTCAGAAATTTCACGGGTAATGGACTAAACCAATACCCATTCATCGCGGGTCTGATGAAACGATAATTCATGTTTGTGCCCATGGATTTTGCATGTTTCATCTAAAACACATGGTTTAGAAGGGCCTTTTATAATACTAAATATATTATAAAGTTACATATTAAATTATTGCATTTGTATTTATTAAAGGAATCACACATGTTTAACACATTAATTAATAAAATGTTTAAATTAATGACAACCTAAAAATGCCGTCAAGCACAGCACAGGCCGTGCTAAAATAGTCAATGCATTAGCTCAAGGTTATGCTGGGTATTTAGTGTGACGTTCGAGGACCAGTTTATTGAGAGATATATTACTATAAACTTCCGAAATCTACTACGCTCAGCTGCAACGTTTGACTGATCCTATCTATACTAAGAAGCCACAGATGAACACTGTGCGCTTTATTCACGACAACGTCAACAAGATTGACTTAACAGAAGTTGCTTGATTTCTGTTGGGAGTTTTTTTTTCATTTCCGAATAGCCCAGATCTTGTATCATACTATTACCATCTCTTCANGAAGCCAAATTGAAGAAAATGGAGGAAGAAATGGAACGAGTTTTCGAGATGAAAATAAGAGAAAAAATGCAAAAATTGAAGGATTCCGAAGCCGAAGTATATTATTTATGGAAATTAATTTCGATAAATAATTTTGCATTTAACATTAATTAAATATTTTGTTTTTATTGAATAGCTGGAACGTCGCAACGAGCAGATGATTGCTGCTTTAGAATTTCAAAGAAAGGATTTGGAGGAAAGACGCCTGAACTTCGAAAAAGAGAAGAAATTGGAAGAGTCTAAGTCAGTATTTTCATAAATTATATTAATTTTCTGTATGATAAGTTATTATCAAAATTTAATTGAATAAGAATGCAGATTTTCATCATTAAACAATACAATTATTTTGCAGTCAAATTTAAAGTAATTTTCAAGCAAAGAAGTTGAAATTAACCAATAATTTTCTTGCAACAAATCTGATCAATTTAAACTAAATACAGCTTTAAATTGATATCTGGGTTGGGTCAGTTGCAAGTTCTAAAAATATCCTTAAATAAGTCAGTTACCCATTGTAAATACCAAATTCCCGTATTGTTTTGTAATCAATTGTGTTAATATTCATTATTGTTTGTTAAGTTATGACAACGCAACATTTGGGCGATCTGCCTAGGGGATACCTTCCGGAAGGTCTTTTTAAGGGAAACTGGCCCCTATTTAAGCATTACAGACGTGGAGAAAACCCGAAAAACTCCACGTGGCCAGCCTGTCCGAGAGAGCCGCGAACCCACGACCGAACGCTCAGTGTTCAGGGTACAAAGACCGCTTGGCCACTGGTGGACTGTCAACATTCGTTCTTCTTTGTTTCTTCATCGAACCAAAAGATATTTCCTTTATATATAACGGCGCACGGAGTTTTTATGATATAGAAACGGGCGAATACGAGTTCTTTTATTAATTATAGATTTCTTTTTCTGTAACAGGTCGATTCAGGACCATCGGGACAAAAAGGCAGAAAAGAAAAAACATTTATTCTAAAGAAAGAATTCCCAGGCATCAAAATTCAAGCAAAATTTCCTTAGCGATTTTACATTTTTTTTAAAATATAATTCTAAATTATATACTCAGTTAATATTCTATGTTATTTCTCTTACCAAAATAAATTAATTACTGTTGAAAAAATTTTTATGGTTTCATTCTTTCCATAGAAACGACCGTTACCTAGAACGTTCCAATCCAGAAACACATTCAAAATGACGATTCATTGTAATTTAATAGTAGTAACAATGGGACCGTCACGTGGTGTGAGGCGGGGGAAGTTAAAGAAAAAACAGTATGCGCGCTAATTCGGGAGGGAGCTCTGTTTGATTCTCGTGGCTGTTGGTGTGAAAATCTTTGTTCTCTAATGATCTGACTTATTTTTGCTTTCTTCTTGAAAAATGTCAGAGTTTCAGGCTCAGAAAAGAAAACATTTTTCGCCACTATCTCAAGACTGATCACCACCACATGTAAGAAAGCGAAGAAAGTGTCTCGGGTGAGTCAAACTGTTGATCTTGTGTTATATAAGTGCCGAAAAGAAGATTAATGTTGATAAATGAATTCGACTTCTGTTAAAATTGCAAGCTTCTTCAAAGAGTAAAACTACGAGTAGTTTTAGAGCGTTTAGATAGAATGCAAGCATGGATTAAAAATATTAATAAATTTGAAAAACATTGAAATTGTGGGTGATGCCATCTGTTACGATATTTTATTATTAAAATTTTTAATATTGTTTATTATAAATGACACAAAGCTTTATTTTGAGGGCAGAGATGAGTTTTAAAAAAATTGTAAATGTTAATAGCTAGTAAAATCTTCATTAAGACCGACCCCACTCGAGATACGACATGCCTTTAACCACCGAAATCCTCCTAATACACAAACAACCCTGCAAAATTTCAGGAAACTTCGAGTAAAGGCACAAGAGTTAACTAAATATCAAACTCAGCGTTTTTAAAACACTTAATGAAACATTAAACACCTTCTATCGCTGAGAAATTATTTATTTAATGAAACACTTAACGTTTTCAGCCTCGTAGAATAGGCCATCCTCAGGTGTAAATGTATTTTAAAACTGTTCGAACATTATACATTCAATTTTAAAACGAAAATAATAGATAAATTAACAAGTAAATAAAATAAAATGTACTAAATACACTGAAGCAACAACGATATAAATAATAAAATAAAATTAATAGGTAAAAATGCACCAAAATATAAGGGCAAGTACAGACTAAGAATTCTTATATTTTAATCTTTCTTTTATGTAGAATTTCCAGGCAGAAGCTAATCTATCCGCATCTCTGGCACTAATACAGTGCAACTATAATTTATATAAAACAACACATAGTCCACTTTACATTCCTGTAAGGATACAAACTGTCCGCTTTTCGTGCACTCATTAGAAGAGCGTATTCATATTGCTCTAATGTACTATACTAGACAGGATGAAGGAGATTAACAGAATCAAAGAAATAGCTTCAAACTTGGGATATAAAAAGAGTACAATAGAAGGGCTAATTAAAAGATGCGAAGGAGGCAAAAAATTAAGAACCAAACAAATCACCAAGTTCACTTATAATAAAAACACAAGGACATCATGAAGGAAGTATCGGACAAAAAAGATTCCAAAATAGTGTACAAAAGAGCTCCTAATTTATATAGTATTCTCAGAAATGATAAAGACATGCCTAAGAAAGAAGAAAAAGCGGGCGTATATAGAATTACTTTTGAAAATCATCAATTAGGAATTAAGAAGGACTATATCGGAGTCACAAGAAGAAATTTAGCTGTTAGACTTAAAGAACACAAGTATGACATTAATAAAGGGTACTGCAACAGAGTTTTGTCCAGTATGGCAACAAGCGGAGGACTCTAGTTAAATGGAGTGAAGCAACTATCCTCAAGACCATGCGTTTCCCATCATTAGCTTTGAACGAAGAAAAAATAGAAATATATAAAAGTAAATTAAAGGATGGTTGTACTGTATTAATGCCAGAGATGCGGATAGATTAGCTTCTGCCTGGAAATTCTACATATAAGAAAGATTAAAATATAAGAATTCTTAGTCTGTACCTGCCCTTATATTTTGATTCATTTTTACCTATTAATCTTATTTTATTATTTATATCGTTGTTGCTTCAGTGTATTTAGTACATTTTATTTTATTTATTTGTTAATTTATCTATTATTTTCGTTTTAAAATTGAATGTATAATGTTCGAACAGTTTTAAAGTACTGTACATTTACACCTGAGGATGGCCTATTCTACGAGGCTGAAAACGTTAAGTATTTTATTAAATAATAAATAAATAAATCAGCGATAGAAGGTGTTTAATGTTTCATTAAGTGGCACAGGAGTTATTAAGCTTCAAATAGGATGAACAAAAATCGTGCCACATACACACTAATATCTATACATACATAAAGAAAACAACACCGGAAATTGTTTTAATACAGCATTTCTCTTATATAAGTGAAATGTAATTACAGTCGACATTATTAAAACTTGCAAAAAATTAAATTTATTATATATTTTAATAGTAATTTTATTAACTTTATTAACGTGTTTTTACGAGACGAGCTCTTTAGTAATTCCAAGTTTACATAAATCGTATAGTGCCTGTATTTTAAACTGTGACGTAACAAGTTATTAAAAAACGTAGAAGCGCGCGTGTTGGTTCTTATCTGTCCAAGAAATCCTCCGCATCCTCCTAATTACCCGAATTAAAAGGAACGAGTGTCGTAATTTTTTTTAAAACAAGCAGTAATGGGGAGAACAACTGCTGAAGAAGCTTCTTTCAGCGATCGATAAGTGAACAAATTAGAATTACGGGCAGCGAATGTCAACACAGTTAAGCGATAAAAATGGATAACAGCACGTTTTAATTGAAATTGGGTAATACTAATTATATTAGTCACAAGTGGCAAGTGATGCGGGCCATTTGTCGAAACGGACGTCGAACAATTGGAATTACTTACTTTGTTCTTATTAAACATAACATTTAACGATGATGGAAGGAGGTTTTTTCATTGTTATTATGTTAAATATTTGAGTTTTAAATAAACTGAAAGAGGGTTTAAAAAAATAAAATAAAATAAAGATAGCAGAGCGTGGTTTCGATCCACGGACCTCTGGGTTATGGGCCCAGCACGCTTCCACTGCGCCACTCTGCTCACGTCTTCTATACGTAAAATAATATGTATTTATAATATATTATAATGCAGTTTACCTTGCATGTTTTCACATAAACAAGTTCTCTGCGATTCTTTTTTGTTTTTATCCAATGTTCGAACGAGTGACATTGAATAAGGTTAGGTTTTTGAATACAAATGCAACTTTTGACCTGTTTACCTTATACATTTTCTCATTTCCTTTGGAACTAATTTCGAAATCTTCATTTACAATTGTTACTGTTAGGATTTTATATGACTGCTTTTGTTAAGCGATTTACAAAGTTTATTTTAAAAAGAACTATAGGCTACTCTTCATATCCTCCAGAATGTCTTTTCCTTATATATATATATAATCTTTTAATGTATGCTCTTTACACCCTATCTCTCCCTCTGTACAGAAATAACTGAAACTATAAGTAAATTAATGATCACTTTATATCATGTTCTAAAAGAAATGAGAAGGAACCTGAACGGTCACTCAAGGACACCTGTAGGAAGTGATCATTAATGGCGATTGTACCCCAGAAATTTGTTTTATTTATTTATTTTTTTCCTTCTTTGCTTCTTTTCGAATAATAGATTAATAAATTGAAGGTATATTTGTAAGAATAAATCTATTTTAATAGCCTTTACATGCAGGGCTGAGGAATCGGAATCGAAAGTAAAAGCCTATATGACTCCTTTGAGACGAAATGACTCCTCTAGTTCTCTTTAAAGCCGCAACAGTAGCTTTATTATTTTAAAATCTCGGCGTTGTTTATGATAGTTGGACTTTTCATTACTTTTTTGGCATATTTATAAATCACACTCTTAAAGATAAGAAGGAACATACAATCCTGCGATCGTTCTTGGTCTCTCTCTCTCTCTCTCTCTCTCGAAAATCTTAGTGGGAATTTATAGGTCTACTTTTTGAAAATTGCAACTAAAATAGCCTGTCTAAACATGGCCTTAGTGTATGTATGTCAATGTTGCGATTATACAATTAATATTTGAGGTCAATGGTGTCAATGGATTTAAATAATTAACACCATTCTCGGGTACCTAACGTTGCTCGGGCTTTAGAAGGATAGAAGTTGGTGAGGCTGGGTTGCAAGAGGGTTATAAAAACAATAATCTTAGTAACTAAAATGTATATTTATTGACCAGAGTATTCACAATAATCATTCTGAAAAACACACAAAAAATAAGAAAAAGAAATTGCTCGGGTTTAAGTTAACAGGAAATGGGGGACTTCCACAGTATTTTTACTTTCCCCGCTGTTATATACTGTATAACAAAGGAAAAGTATGGCGATCTTGCACCCCAAGATTTTTTACATTGTTGAACTTAGGACACCTTGAAACGTTGAGAAATGCAAAATAATTTCGGGTGTTCTTTCTGTACGTATGAATGCTTGTGTGTGGGGTGCAAGATTTTGTTCACCCCACTCTGAAGCTTAATAACTCCTGCGCTTTTTGTCGAAAATTTCTGAAATTCTGCAGGAAAGTTTGTGTATTAGGGAAATTGAAGCTGTTAAAGTTTGGTGGTTAAAGGTCGAGAGGGTGGGAGATAGAGGTAATCAGGTGTCATAGCTCGAATGGGATCTGACTTAATGATTAATGATTTTACTCGTTATTAGCATTTACAATCTTTTTTTAATATAAAACCCATCCCTACCCTGAAAATTAAGCCTTTTTGCCATTTTATAGTAATTAATAATATAAAACGTTTTTTAATAAAATATCGTAACTAGTGATGTGCCGGATCGTTAAAAATGTATATCCGCGGATACGGATACGGATACGGATCATTCGTGTCTAGATCCGCGGATACGGATACGGATACGGATCTCAACTTTCGTACTCAGTCAGCGCCGGTGCGTGTGACCTTGGACCGATAGTTGACGCTTTGCGTTAATAACGCGACGTGTTTTGACTTGCACTGCGCGTGTTTTTGTTTATGGTGTAAAAATGTGCTAAATTAGAATTCACCACAAAGGCAGACAGGATAAAGTAACAAAAGTTAATATAATTTTCCAATTGAGCTTTTTTGCGTCTTTATACAGATTCTATTTCGGGGGATTCCAACTTCACGGTACAAACAGTAGCATGCGAAATTACAGCGATAATAATAGTTCGCTGTATCCAAATCACGTGTACAATACAGATCCCGATCGCGACAATATAACCCGGAACCTTAAAACTAACCTTAAACACTAACTTAACACTAATAACAGAAAAAGGGATAGAATTAAGAAGACAGAAAAAATGATAGATAAGATAGAAATAGAGATATCTGGGGTTTTGTCCCTTTTTTCGGCTTGTTTCTTTATGCATACTGTTGGGTGGGATAACACACGCCCTTCTCTTATAACTGGCCAGTTCTCTTCTTCAATAATTAGGATTTTTTCTTCCACAGNTGTACGTATAATTTTTGGGGAATAATCCGTATAAACTATGTTATAAACAAAAAATTGTAGGATTACTTACCGAGTGTGCACCGTTCGACATCGCCATTGCTTAAGCTTGTTTTCGTCGCGGAGCAGCGCACCAAACGGCTGCCGCGATTTCTGATAAGTTATTTTTCTGCGAAAACTTCGTTGAACTTTGGAGACATCATTAATATAAATAATTTTTATGACCGTTGAATAAGAAATGTATAAAATTAGTGGTGTATTAGACTTATGGTACCTAATTTACATACTGTACAGACGATAGTAAACTCAATTTACCCGCCTAAACTCTCCGCAGTGTGGCGCTGGATGGCGGAAAGTAGTTCGGATGACTGATGACGTTTTACCGAATTATAGGAGTTTTTTTTACCATGTTTGTACGGATACCGTCACAATTTTTTCACCGTAATATAGGAATCCGAACTATAGGAACCAGTGTTATAGGGGGGTCGACTGTATGTAGGATGAAATTATTTTAATACACAATTTTCCCTCCCACTATTATTTGCATTTACTTTATATCTATCTATTTTATTGCATTTATAAGGTAGTGATTATATATTGTTATTTATAAATGATTCATCTGATTTTCTTTGGCTGAATCCATCCTGTGGGGACTAAGAGAGAATTTTTCTCCATACTCATTGTGGGTTTGGCCAGGCTCACAATAGATATGTGAAAAAAACAATCTCAACATACCAGGACAGATCCTTCATGAAAAATTCCCGGTAAGTTGCTCTGCCAGATCCTGCATGTGGCTGCCAGAGACGGAATTTGTGCTTCAGAAAATTCTTTTAAAAATGAAAAAAAATATACTACTATAATTAAAATCCTTCACTTTATTATCACATATATTAAATTTCTTTCTCTACTGTAACATTGAATTTCAAATGAAAATTAACTGGTTGGAGTCTTAAGTTGGATAATTCATTAATGGATAACTTTTCCATATTAAGAAACATTAAATACAATTGTCACAAAATTATATGAATATGAAAAAAAAATTATATATATGAAAGTTTATATTTATATGCAATATGAAAATATCTAATAGCTTTGCGTGACCTTTTCTTCTACTTTTTGTATGTGTGTTCCTATTTACCCGTATTGATTTGCACAATGGAAACATTCATTGTGCGTGCCTTTCAATCCAATTGTATGTCCAGTATGAACTATTCACTTAATTCTAAATTGTACGTTTCGACCTGATCGAGAGTTTGAAATTTTTGAATAAAAGACATTTACTTACCTCTCTCAAAAATAAATTCTCTTTTTATTCTATAAATTAATAGCATTATAACTTTCTGATAAAGAAAACCATAATTGCAAAAATTGAAAATTTCTTTATATTCTTAAATCCATCATATTCACATATATATACATATATATGTATATATATATATACTTTTTTTCCTTTCATCCCAATTTGAGGGTAAGAGTCATTTATCAGAAAATTAAAAAATGGAAATTATGCAAATAATAGTTTAGTTTGGACATTATTATTATTTGCACTTTAACAAATTAAGCTATATAAAAAGTCTTTGAAACTGTACAATTTATACATATAACATCTCTATGTACACGAGTTAAATATATGTTCTTCAACCTACGGTGACTAGAAATGCAACATGAGGCACTAATTGGCAAATTAAGAATTGGAAGCATTAATTGGAGTGTGGAAGAATTTACTTTTCGTTGGAATGAGCTCTTTTTATGTGGTTTTTAAGGTTGCCATTTTGAGTGAAGGCAGTATTGCAGTATGGGCACTGGAACGGCTTCTCTCCAGTATGTTTCTTCATGTGGGTCTGAAGGGCGTTTTTCTGATTGAATGCTTTGTCACATTCCTCGCAAACAAATGGCCTTTCACCTGTATGAATGCGCTTATGCCTTTCTAGTTGACTGGGCTTGGAAAATGCTTTCGAGCAATGCGAACACTGATGGGGAGTGGGGCGCTGTTTTTGATTAGAACTGCAGTGCGTGAGTAAATGGTCTCTCAGATGTGTCGCTCTTTTGAAACTTTTACTACATACTTCACAAGTGTGCTTCCTTTCTTGGTTGGCCACAACATTTTCTTCGTTGGTGACATGCAACAGGTCTATGTTTGGAATGATACTTTCACTTATGCCGACCGATGCTGTTTCCACATTGATACTATCATTTTCCAAACCCAGAACTTCTTCCTCTACAACATTCATAGATGAATCGACACCTATAGTGACTTGGTTCCCTATAATCTCTTCCTTATTGTTAGATAAACTAGTCAAATTAAAAGTTTTAGTTCCGTCCGGTCTTATTTCGTCAGGTTCTGTTGTAATTATTTCTTGTTCCGAATTTAAAGGAATATTCAAATTAGTTAAGGAATGAATAATAATATTTGGATTGACTGTTGTCGTAATCGTGTTGTCATTAGCAATGGTACTTTGAAGGATTGCAGAATCACTCACTGCTGTATCTGTTGTTGTGGCAAGAGGTTCTGTTAATAAACTAGGACTAATGGTAATATTAATATTACCATGTTGCTGTAACTGTTGTAAAAGATGTGCATCTATTTGCACAGTTTGTGAAAGAAGAGATGGATCAATTCCAGTTATTTGAATACTGCCACCTAAAACATTAGGCGTGACCAACTGAACACCTTCAATTCCTTGAATTATTTGTGAAGAGGCAGTGTCCGAATTGACATTTCCTCCCAATATATTGAGGGAATTTGTAGATAGCATATTTTCTTCTTGTTGCGTATTAGATATTTGTAAGATATTTGAAGCAACAGTTTCCTGTTCTGTTGTATTTTCTTGTGCAGTCTTTTTCTTGGATGGAATTTTGAAATGAGTGGCGATGTGACCTTTCCGATGTCCAGAGGTTCGGAAACGTAAATCACAATGAGGACACTTGAAAGGTTTAGCACCTGAAAAAAATATATTGAATAATTTCTTAAACAATCAATAAAGAATTAAAATATATTTTAAATTTACATTTAATAATATTAGTACAGGGTGAAAAAATGCTGTAATTTTTGGACAGTTTGTTAGAAATAAATGGTGTTTAAGAATTTGATACACGGATAGTTGGAACACAATGTAAATGTGTACAAAACAATAAGCAAGTATTTGGTCCCATATTGATTGTTCAGGATGTACAAGAAAAGGTAGTACTCCATGGTTCACATATAGCCCCTAAAAGTTGCAATATGGGAAGCATTTAAAGATAAAATTTGTATCTCTAATGGAAAACATGTAGATTCTTCAGGAGCACATTAGAGATGCAATGAAAAAAATTTCAGCAAAGGCCAGACACTATATTATTGACCAATTTTATAAACACCTATGAAATTCAATTGTGTCTGAAGGAGAACATTTTGAAAAAGGCAATGGCTCTTGCCCAAGTTTCCTGCACTTGAACAGGAGATTAAGGGGACTGGAAAGGAAGTCTGATAATTTTCAATTATGCTTCAATATAAAATTTAAATAATAATGAATGCTTGAAAGGAATCATTTTTTTTAAAATTATGATTTTAAAAAAAAATTTAAATAAAATTTAAAACCCTAGCACAAAGTTAAAATTGTGTATGGTGCCATTCTGTTGAGATTTTATTGAATAATTTTTATAAAAACACAAAAGGCTTACTTTTGGGAATAGAAATGAATTTTTAAACAAATAGAGGAATTTTTAAGCATTTTCAATCTCCCCATTTCTTTGACCTTTAACTACTAAACTGTAATAGCACCAATGCTCCATACATGAAAATAATCTTGTCAAATTTGAAAAGTTTTTGCTCATTCAATCCTCAGATATAATGCAAAAAACCAACAAAATTTTGTAAAGAATTTTTTACATTTTTGTGTTCCTGGAGTGTCATAATGTCAAGAAATCCAAAAGCACTGCAGGAGAAAGTCAAAATTTAGTCGATCATACTTTTCCTGTTATATTCTATAACAGCTAGGAGAGTAATTGTATTTCATAACCCATTTACTACGTAATTACTTTAATTTGATTTGAACTGAACTGCATATGTACTGTACTTTTTGAATAATTTAATTTTTCTTTCAGTATGCTCTACCCTATAAGAAATTTCAACTGTTTTGTATATAAGAATGAACATTTGATAATATTA